TGTCACTTTATCCTGGAGCTCAGCGTACTCCAAGGAGATGCAGTGGTGCTTCTCCTGTAGCTGGGTGGCCAAGGCCTGAAGTCGCCGGTTCTCACAGCCCAGCTCCCGGGTGCGTGCCCGAGCCGCCTCACCGCGGGGCTCACCTCCCCCTCGACTGCAGACGCGCCGACAGAGTCCCTCCACCTGGCGCTGTAGGCGGGCTGAGGCCTCGACCACCCGCGACACGGCGGCCTTGGAGAACTCCATCCGGCCCTGCGGCCCCACCTCCTCACTGCTGCTGGCGCCCTGTTTCACCGGGAAAGCCAACGCCGGCTCGCTCAGGGGGGGCCGTCGCTGCGCGGGCAGGGTCTCCCTCAGTTCTGACCTCGGCCCCCCCTGGGTCCCAGGTGGCTGTGTACCTGGCGACAGCTCCCGCTGCTTCTCATGGCGTCGGAGAAGGGCTTCCACAGTTACCTCCAGCTGGGCCCAGTAGCGGTTGACGATGAGGAGTGTGGCGTCATCGGTGGCCTGCCGCTTTTCCAGCTTCTCGATGCGCTCTCGGAGTTCATCTTCACAAGCCTGGCGCTGCTCCAGCCGCTCTGCTAGCTTCTTATTCTTGAACCGCAAGACCTTCAGGTCCATCTCCTCCGGGAGAGAGATGTCCCCAAGACGGACGGGCCCTCTAAGCGCGGTTGCGGCCTCGAGGCTCAACTTCTCTGTGGGCCCCGAAACGCACCGTTGGCCGGTTGGTCGAATGGCGGCACTTCCGGTGATAGATGGCACTTCCGGCCACCCGAGGCACTTCCGGCACTTCGGTCACCCACAACAGGAGCAGCCCGGCGCCGCCATCTTGGACTTCAGCGGCCATCAGCGTCCTCAACATTCTCTTTAATATTAGTTTATATAAACACCTAGAAGTTACTTGATGGGCATTGCCAGATATAAGGGAACAGATTTTTATCAAAGAAACAAGCCAAGCAATGTGGGGTCATGATCGCTTAGCCACATTATCTAGGAACTTGTTAATTCCTCATGGCATCCACCCTCACTTGCGGCAAGTAATAGGAAAGTAAATCTGCCGTGTTTATTTCTTGGGAAGCGTGTGTATCCGTGTAATTATTCCCTTAATAATTCCAAGGATGTGTTTCATGAAAAACCGGTTCCTTCGTGTAAAAATGATATGTAAGTACATTGTTCTCTTTGATGATTGTTTTCATTTTTAACATTTTAAAAGTATGGGACTTGAGAAACTTGGGCAATTAAGTCAGTCTGTGATGTTTGCAAACTCATTTAAAAGCACCTGACACCACACTGTCAATTTCCATCATGCAAGGATTTTAAGGTGAAATCATTAGGTAGAAGGGTCCTGCATTGTTTCATCATGTAATTCTAAAAATGAGTCAACCTTTGAAGTGAGCTTTATTCATAATAGTTCTTAGTTTGTGCGTGTGTGTGTGTGTGTGTGTGTGTGTGTTTAATTTGTGCAGCAAACATTTATTCAATACCTAGTATGAGCCTCAGATCGTATATGACAGTGAGGCTACTACAGAAACAGGACAGAGGTTGTTTGTTCTTAAAGAAACTTTATGGAAGCATCAGTATATGACTCTACATCAGAATCACCTAGAACTGTGGTCGGCAAACCGCGGCTCGCGAGCCACATGCGGCTCTTTGGGCCCCTTGAGTGTGGCTCTTCCACAAAATACCATGTGCGGGTGCGAGTACAGTGCGATTGAAACTTCGTGGCCCATGCGCAGATGTCGGTATTTTGTGGAAGAGCCAAGCTCAAGGGGCCAAAGAGCCGCACGTGGCTCGCGAGCCGCGGTTTGCATAGCCGCAGTTTGCCGACCACTGACCTAGAACATTTGTTAAAAAAGAACGTTTAAGGGCCTCAAGGGTAAGGCTTAGAAATATACATGTTAACAAGCGATTCAGCTGATTCTGATTCCTGGGAGCACATTTAAATAAGATATTGCCCTAAATAAGTCATGGGGAGGGGGAGGAGCTAATGAGGTGTCCATGTTTGATGTAGCTTGTGCCCAGGTCCAAGGGCTGTGGGCACCTGTATGGATTTTTCCCTGTCTCAGTATTAAGGACTGAGGAGGTCAGAGAAGCCCAAACTCCAGCCTGTGTTCTGACCCCCTGCCCCCAGCCCCCTCTCCTGTAATAGCCTGCCTGGCCCACAGGGTTGAATCTGCCCAAGAAGGCACCTTGTTCTCAGCCCAGAGGGCCTCTAATGGGGTGCAAGTGGCAGTTTCCAGAACTCTGTTATTCTTAACCCATCAAACAATTTTAGAGAGAAATCTAGCAATTACAGTAGAGGAGACATCGACTTTATGCTTCCAACCTAATGTGAAATTTATCTCCTTAAACAATGCCCATATTTATTGACTTCTTGCCACACTCAGCTCTCTAAGAGAAATAAGATGTTAAAGATTAATGGAGAATTTGTGCTTAAACACAGCTTTCTTGAAGGCTTAGTTTGCTTCTCTCTTCATATATTATTTACACTCACACCAGCAGTGTTGAATAAAATGTTTGTCCATAGGTCCCTCTATGCATAAAGGTAAGCTATTTTTCTAATAAAATAATTTCTTGTAAATATACATTTGTAGATTGGACAAGCCTATTTTTTGCTTTAGAAAAGTCATTACGTTGCTTTGGGAATTTTCTTTTTATTTCATCTGGAGTTTTATTGAGAAAGTATTCCTGTCCTATTAGGCATAAGGACTCTTCCCCCTTTATTCTGTTGCCAAACACCCATGATCTAACCTGGAGCCATCAACTCTAGACTTGATGCTTCCTTTTCCCTCTTCCCCATTTTTATTCATCAGGTCTTATATCAGCATCCTAAATAAATCCCTTAGCACTTCCATTTTTAACTGCAGGCTTCTAATTGCTCTTTTTGTCTGCATTGTCTCCCATATCATAATACGTCCTGCATATAATAGCTTAGTGGCTCTAACAGCGATTTTACACTTTTATTGTCCTTCTTAGGGCAAGTTCTGAAGTTTTTCCTAATTTCCATTCTACCTTTACCTCCCATTACATGTATGCACTCTCACATTCTATGAATAGTACATGTATACCATACTGTGTCTTATGGGTATACTAAAGGCCTGGTGCATGGATTTGTGCACCGGTGGGGTCCCTCGGCCTGGCCTGCACCCTCTCGCAATCCGGGACCCTTTGGGGGATGTAGGAGGCCCAGTGCATGGATTCGGCCCAATCCCTGCAGGCCAGGCCAAGGGACCTCACCAGTGCACAAAGCGTGCACTGGGCCTCTAGTATGCATATAAGATCTTTTATTAATCTCTTCCTGCCCTCCCCCACCCCCCTTTCCTCTGAGATTCGTCAGTCTGTTCCATGTTTCCATGACTGTGTTTTGAGCATCTGCCCCCTGGTGGTCAGTGCACATCATAGCTACTGGTCAGACAGTTGGACAGTCGCTTAGCCTTTTATATATTTAGATTTCTAAAAAGGTTACTGTTTAAATTTATTGAGTTAAAAAATATCTGAGATGTGTAAACAAACATCAAAAAAATGAAAAGCTTTTCAAGAAAATATTGTATAAACTATGACAAGTGATGGCTATGCAACCTGGTTGTTGCTAAGTATGGGTTTTTACTTGCCACTTCTCTGAAAGCCATTATTAGTGCCTTTAAGTGCCCTTTTGTAAAGTCTCTGTTCTAACACTCAAAGAGGCCATTCCCTGCAGTAGGTCTGTTGATAAGGGAGAGCAGACAGCTGTTGAGCTGTGTGGCAGCAGCAGGTATCTCTGTGGGATGCCTCTGGAAACAAAAAAGCTGGATTCTCCCGCTGGGTGTAATTTTATGAGCTCTGTAGGCGAATTCCTTTATGGTCCTTTTCTCTCCTGTACATAATATGTACCCGATGATTGTTATGAAAACCAATTTTTATAGCATTTTTAGAAATTCTGAGCCTTAACAATCAAAGAAGTTTTACAGCTATTAGGACATCTTGCACCTACCCACAAACCATCAAAATTAGCACATCTTTTGTACACTGATATTTCCAGTATTGCTACATTGCAGGGAATAAGCACATCTTTTGTTGAGCAGCCTCTGAACTATAGACTGTGCAAAAAAGATACCATTTTACTCCCACTTCCCTTATAATACTAGTAATGTTATTTAGTCCCTAACTAGCCTCTCTCTCTCCCATGAGATTAGTGTCCCTATTTTCTCTATAGATGATACAGTATGTATTTGACTACCAAACATGTATTGTCTTGACTGTATACATTTAATCTCTCTCACTAACTTATAAACATAGCAAGGGCAATATGCAAATGAAAGGAAGCAAAGGTAAATTAAATTTATACTTTATTAAAATCAAACAATTCTTGCAACCCTGAAAATTGTATTCAATCACATCACATAACTGTACATTATTCTCTATAACAATTCAGGTAATGTCTGATTCAAAAACACTTGGACTATATCTTACTGTCAGTGATTTATGAAACTTCTGAAAAACAACTAAATATGGAATTTATTACCTTCTATAGCCACAACTGGGCCATGGCCCATTCTGAAAGCTATCAGAGAGGAGGGATGGCACTGTGATACCATGTCATTGAGAGTCTGCCTCACTAGTGGAATTCTGCATTTTGCAACTTTTCTAATCCTGGAGGTTTTGCTAACAAAAAGTCCAACTAGGTATTCCTCAACTGAAAGGCTGACTTCTTACAGTTCACACTATAGCTTGACTCTCTGTGGCTCACAAATACTTCCTTGAGGTGCTAGAACAATTTTTAAGCAGAAATGAAGATGGAGTCCATAAGGAATAAAAGGGAAGAGGAAAGAAAAGGGAAAAATGCTGATCCTTTACCTCTTTCCAAGAGAAAAATTATATGAAATAGCTGTAGCAATCATGAAGTGATCTATATCTTATATTTACAAACTATAGAATAATGTGATTCCAAGGGGGAGTATTTGCAATCACCTGCTTATTATAACCAACACTGTAACTAATAGTTTTGTTTCTTTTCCATTAAGGTGACATACTTGTTTGATAATGGAGGGACAGTCTTCTTTGCTATTTTTATGGCAATATGGGGTAAGTAATTCTCCATTACTTCCTAGCCCTCATTCTCTGAGGCTATTACTGTATTTTTTCATGCTCGTATGCGCACGCACACACACACACACCCCATGTATCAATTCAACAAAGTCTATTGCTTTGTTTGTCCTCTTCCCACATTCACTGCTTTGTTTGGAATGTATTTCTTGATCTGATTCTTTAATCCCTAAAGCCTTGGACCTACCTATACTAAAGAGTTTTTGTTTGTTTTGTGTGTTCCAGAGCAGATAGTAATTAAAAACAAACTGAAACATAATCCAAGTTAAACTTTTTGCAACTGATGCTCAGAAATTTTTTTATTTGTTTAACATTTCCATTTATCTATTTTTAATCTCACTCATCATCTATTTGGAGATGCAGAATCTATTCCATATACAATTGATCAGTAATGTCTAATACATAATAAATTATGTTCCTATCTAACATCTTAAAACTGTAAAAATTATGTACAAGTACAGACTTTGGCTGACTTTTTCAACATGTTTCTCATTGAGTTTTTAGGTTACCCAGTTAATTGAGGCATAAAGTAAATCAGACATCCTTTGAAGAAAAGCAATTACTTTCCTGGTTAGGGTCAGCTTTCCTAACAGCCCTGTTGAATGCAAAGTCATTGTCAACTTGGCAGTTCAAGGGACTGACCATGTACTAGTAAGTGCTAAGGCAGCAAAGTAAAATGTACTTAAAAGACAGGTCTCTCACTCCCATTCTCTACATTTCTCAGAAACAGAGGTTCTGTGCCATCTGTCTTTCTAGCTTTATGTAAAAAAAATAAAAAATAAAAAAATTTACTTCCAATGCTTCTTCAACAGAATGTCAACTGTGATGCATGGCATTAGAGCTACAGGGAGAGCAGTGAAGAGTCAATCCATTGACTTATTTTTGGCCAAAACAAAGTATAAATGTAGATTTGGTTCTCTATTTTCAGTGAAGAAGTTTTTAAATTAAATTATCAAGGAGGGCAATCAAGGTACAATCTTTTAGTTTTATGTGATCCCACAAACATTTCTTACTAAGAAGAAAACAGACTAAAATACAAATGAAGGTTACTCCATATAAGCTTCAGCATAGCCAGAAATGGCAAGAAAGGAGACCCCTTGGATGATTTTTCATCTCTTTATGTTTCTGCTACTAGGCTCAGGCTTTTACAGTTCTTCTTGGCACAAGCCACATGACAGTGATCTTGCTTCAGCTTTTGGAAGGTGGGTTGGTGAAAAGGCCAGGATGTAAGCAAACACTTGCCATCTGAAGCCCTTTTCCCCTTAGTTTTATACTGAGGTACGGAGTGCAGGTATGTCATCCATTGGAATACCATCACGTGCATTTTCTTGACCTGCTGGTATGGATGAATCATTCACAGTTGAGTTGTAATAACTAGCATTCCCAAAACTCACATCATAAGGTTCCGGTGCATTGTCTAATCGCAGAACTAAAAAAAGTAACCAAGAAAAGGTATTTTATAAAAGGTATTTCAGTCACAGTTTGAAAGATGCACATGTGTTCAGGCATCTGCCAGACCTTAGGAACTGTTCTAGATGGGTAAGTGTACCTGGCCTTTATATGGGCTTTTCAGATATTAGTTTTGAAATTTATTTTTTTATTTTTATTTTTTTTTTAATATTTTATTGATTTTTTACAGAGAGGAAGGGAGAGAGACAGAGAGTCAGAAACATCGATGAGAGAGAAACATCAATCAGCTGCCTCCTGCACATCTCCCACCGGGGATGTGCCCGCAACCCAGGCACATGCCCTTGACCTGGAATCGAACCTGGGACCCCTCAGTCCGCAAGCCGACGCTCTATCCACTGAGCCAAACCGGTCTCGGCAGTTTTGAAATTTAAATGAGTAGATATTTTCAAGCCACATTTCTTTCTAAGACTAAGCGAACAATTTAACTTCCAGAATTTCCCTGCTGGTGGACCAAAACTAAAGGAACCAAGGGAGCGATCACAACAAAAGTGTAGTAATACTTTGTATTAGGGAGGATAGACATATGTCTCATTGTGTAGAATTGCGTGATTTCAGTCTTATCAGTTAGTTCAGAATTTTCACTTCTGGTGTGAAAAATACTTTTTTTTAAAAAGTGAAGAGCATTAATTTGAAAATCAGTGCCATTATTCTAAACCGTGTCTCCATGTCTTTATGGTTGAGCCATTGAACATGGAGACAGGAGAAAACTATTTGTAAAAGCTTGTGTTTCCTGCTGATAGATCCAACTTATCATGATTTGAGGTTTTATGACTGATAATAAAGGATTGTTTTCTTTTTCAATAGTCAATTATTATTTCCTTAATGAGCTTGAACTTATTTTCAAAGAAAATAAGGAGGTACTTTTAAATACTGAAGCAGTGATTAACTACTAATTAGATTAGTAATCTAATTATTCAGTGAGGTATTTTCATATCCTATCAATTTCTTCAGCCATCTCTTCACAAACTAGTCTCCCAGAACCCTGAGGGATTTTGGAGAGGGTCCCTAATCTGTCTTGAAGGAGTAAAGTAGGTGGTATGATTATTTTCTTATGCCTCAATCAAAATATAGTGAATTATAGCAATTTAATAGACTGAGCTTTTTTACAGATGATTACAGTGATTACAAATAAAGAAAAAATTCAGAGGTTTAAAAAAGAAGTTTGGAAACCCATGTTGTTCAAAATCATATCCTTTTATTTTGAAAAATGCCACTTTTTAAAATATTTATTGCTAGGAACCCATAGACAGAATTCAGTCAAATTTATAAGTGGTGGATTTGGTTCTGAAAAGGACCATATGTCACATGATTTGAAGTTCTCAAAAATCAACAAGACTTTATCAATGGGACTCACTAGGGTCATTTATTTTTTTATGGAAGCAAGAATCCCTCCTGTAAACCAGAAAACAGTTGTGATTTTTTTCCCCCTGAAGTTTAAGAAAGGGAAGAATCAAGCATTTGAAGTGACTTCATTTGTGTTCTATACATTGTGTTATTAAGGTCCTACTCAGTGCTTCATTCATAGAAGTTCCATTTTTTATTCATAAGCATTATGGTTTTTCACCACATGAATTTACAGAATTAAGGTAAATTGGGACTTATGTAGCTACATATGTAACTCATTAGAAATCCCGTTTTAGAGATTCATTAAGATAATTAATATGAGGTTACTATATCTGTAAAACTTTTGAAGATCTCCTATTAGAATATGTCTTTGCTCAAATTACTGCTACTAAACTACAACAATAATGACAATGGATGATTTTGCAAACACTAACAAAACTGCCCATTTTTTCTTAATAGCATACCATTCTCTTCCAATTTTATAGATTTATTTTAGGTTCTGGAATTATTACTTAAAATCAATTGTTATGCAATGAGCAACAGTTTCAACTATTTTAAAATTTTTTCTCACAGGTCCATTACTATTTGAGGAACAGAGAGTAGGTCAGAATAAATCTTTGGACTATTTCTATTGTATGAATCTCTGAACCCTGTCTAGACAATGTAATAACCATTAGCAATCCCCACTTAATGAAAGTTCTGGAGGTGAAGTTCTGAAAGTTGTTTTTACCTGGTTCGTTTCTATCATCATAAAGTCTCCGATGAGAAAATGAATTCGTTTTTCGTTTTCCACACAACAAGTAGCCAACAAGACTAAGCAAGGAAGCACCCAGAATAGCACCTAAAATGGCCCCAAATACTACTCCTGTATTTCTATTCTCTAGAGAGAAAAAAGAAAAAATAATTTATAAACAAGAAATAGCAATAATTGTTCAAAGTACAGACATATATACATGTGTAGCACAAAGAATATTTAGCATTTTAAAAAATATTAGATAATGCTGATTATATATAATATAAAGTACTGAATATTTGGGATATATTGGCAAAATATATTTCCTAATAAAACCAAACCTTAAATATTGAATTATTTTGAATTACTTGTAAGTCCTAGTTTTATAACTATGCCTCATTACTCATCAACACTAATAGTACTGAAATGCCATGAGTGTGCTCCATTAGGACATAATTTCTGTGTTGAATGCTCTATTGTCTTTAATCAATTCTAAATCTCTGATGAACTTTAATGGTAAAATGAGCTTTGATCTTGTTTCTATAATAATTTGAAAGTAAAAAGCTAATAGGAGTAAGTGAGGAATAGGAAATGAATCCACAAAACTCCAAGTGAAAAGGCATTATAAGGAAAAATCAGAATAATGATCAAAGCAATATATTGTCAGTGCATTACACATAGGGAACAGATGTGTAGGTCTGAGTTTAAGAGAACCCAAAATTTCACCCTATCATCCCCTTTACTAAGTACCTTATTTGAAAACTATCATAAATAAACTACTTACTACTCCATGAACTCAAATTTAGTGTATTTTATTTTTAATGTTTTTTAACATTTCTTGAGAAGCTTACTAATTAGGTAGGTAAAGGGTCTTAAAGAGTCTCTGGTTCCACATGAAACCTTATATATTTAAAAAATTAACCTCCACACTGGAAAGTTAACAAAATAATTACTAAAACAAAAATGAAGCAAAGTTACCTGGTAGGAATAAGTAATATGTTTTCAATATGTATTTTAAGTTTAGAGAGACAAAAGAGATAGTATTTTTAAGCAATATATTTCTGATGGGATGTTAGAGTATGTATTAATGAAACTGATATGTTTAAGTTAAAACTAGCCCAGCAGGTGTGACTCAGTGGTTGAGTGTCAACCCATGAAACAGGAGGTCATGATTTGATTCCCCTTCAGGGTACATGCCCAGGTTTTGGGCTCAGTTCCCAATAGCGGGCATGCAGGAGGCAATTGATCAATGATTCTCATCATTGCTATTTCTATCCCTCTCTCCCTTTCCCTCTCTGAAATTAATTTAAAAAACATTTAAAATTTTTTTAATTAAAGTTAAAATGAAAATATATGTACATACAATACATTGGTTGCAGAGCTATAGTAAAACCTAGATTTCATTATTTAAAACTTTTCCTGTTCACTGGCA